ATTAATTTTTAAAGATTTTATTATTTTTTATTAATAAAATTTTTAATAATTTTAATTTTTCTCTAATTGCAGATTTTCTCTAAATGCAGGTCAAAGTACTGGTCCCAGCAATATACATTTAGAGGAAGTCGACTATACAAAGTATAAACCAAGTATAATAGACAATAGTTCAAGTTTAATAAATAAGCAGAGCTCAAAGTTAATGATGCAGGAAGCTATTATATGGAAAATGATTGAATCAGCACAGATTAAAATAATAAAAGAAGCCTTTCATTTTTGATATAGAAAAGATAGTAAGCTTATTAATAAATATGCTAGTTATGTGAAAAATTTACATAATGCTAAAAACAAAAATGAATATAAAATATACTGCTATAACTCCTTTTCCAAATAAAGAAGCATATAACAAAAGAATAACTAGATATAAAAAATAATATCAAGGTAAAAAGGAGCTACTTACCAGTGTAGAAGATTTATATAATCTTTATTATAAGTTATCCAAAAAAGATAAACCTATGACTGAAACAGAAATTGAGGAAGCTGTTGAAGATATACTTATAGATGAGTAAGGCGGAGCTCATTTTTTTAGAATAATTTAGTAAAACAAGCAAAGACACAAAGTGTTATTATTTCATAATAAGTGCAAAAATTTAATATTGTTTAGTTACTGAATGACTGCCTTTAGCAAGTATTTATTTTGGAGGATATTCAGCTTTCTTAACTACTATCAATTGTTCTTTTACATATGATCTTTCAGGACTAATGCTATTTTCATCTATAAGCCAATATAACACTAGCTGATTTTTTTGTATTAGAGCCTTTTTAATATAGAAAACTTTAGAAGACCAATTCATATCAGTAATACGTTTATTGCCAAATTCTAATTCACCAGGTTCAAGAAGATATCTTACTGAGTTATAATAAATCAACTGAGGTTCATTATATTCAATAGGTCTTCTATACTTTATAGCTGGTTTCGCAAATATCTTTCTCTCCTTTAAAGCTTTTTTTACTGCTTCATTAGAAGATATACCTATCAATCTGGTTGGAGTATTATTAAAAGTATCATCATTGATACAAAGACTTTTAACCCATACTCTAGACCTATCAGACAAAGATAAATAAAAATCTATAGCATTTTGACAAATAAAAGCATGTTTTTCAAATTCTTGATAATTATGCTCAGCTATAGCATTACTTTCTTTAGATTTTTTAGAATCAAAATATATATCATGTTTTAATAATAAATCTTTATACTCAGCTAAATGCTCAGTACCTTTATCAGTTCTAAAAATATTAGACCAAGAAAGAGGATTGTTAGGATCATCATAAATTTTTTTAATTGCTTTTGCAACAGTAGAAGCAGATTTATTAGTTAATGTATAGCTTTTTCAATATCTAATAGCAACATCTTTTATTACAAGTCTATGTTTAAAAATTATATTTCTAATTTTATCATAAAGTATAGAAGTAAGATCAAATTGATGTATTTCATTAAATTTTGAATTCTATTAAAAGATGCATACTGAATAAAACATAGTCATGGTTTATGAATTTGATATAATGCTTGCTTATTTAGCCAATTTTTTATATTGTTTAATGAAAAATTATAACCAGCTTTTTTACATATATCTTATATTTTTCAGCAGTATGATAATAATCTTCAGGTTTATAATATACTTTTTGCAAAGCAATCTTCTTATTCAAATCATAGGCTTTTTGTGAATCAATATAAATCAAAAGTTTTTTTATTATACTATAATTACAACAATCTAATCAAAAACTCTATGAGATAGTATCACAATTAGCAGAATCAAATAGAAATTTTGAACAATATCTATATATCTTAAAAAGAGTTATAGGCATATGTAAAGAAAGAATATGATATCTTGAAGAAGAGTTAAATAATGCTATTGAACTTTCTAAACAAGACAAAGAAGAATTATTAGAAGAGATTTCAAAATTAAAAAGAATCATTCACCAACTCAAGGAAGAAAATAAAAAAAAAGACAAAGAAATTTTCAATAAAGATATATTAATATTAGAATTCGATAAACATGAGACAAAATTAAAAACCATATATGAGAAATATCAAAATTTGCAGATAATACGCCTAAAGTACAAGATTATACAACCAGATTAGTAAATGAGAACAAATGCCTTAAATGAGAAATAAATATGGTAAGAACTAATCAAATAAATAGAATTAACAAAATAACCTAGCAAAAAAACTGTATTACAGATCTTCTTTGTCAAAATTTTGTATTAGCATTATTGAGATATCAAGATAAATTAGGACTTATAAATACTCAAGAGGCTTTACAAAATGCGCAAGCATGGAATTTTAATGAAAACAAATCTGACTTTGATGAAAATTCTTTAAATATTTATAATTTTGATCAAAATTTAGATATAGGTATAATAACTGAATTGGCCAATACTATAGACCGATCTTTAGAAAATACAACAATATGTAGAATCATTTTAACAAATCAAATTAAAAGATCAACTAGGGCAATTCGACGTAAATACACTAACCTGCAACAAGATTTGGTAAATAAACGATAGAACTGAGATACATACAGGCAGGAGCGAGATCAGGTATTGTTTGATCTTCATTAATTACAAACTAATACACAAAACCAAGTGAATAGAATAATAAATAATATGACAAGAAAACAAACCCACATCAGTAAATTGCTATATGAAAATTTAGCTTTCTAGTTATTATATCAGTGAAATATCCTCTACTTACAATGATGCAGAGCCAATAGAGGTTTGCTATAATCAAGATAGATTATATGAACAATATGAGAAGTAGAAAAATAAGGCTCATGCAGAGCGCCAAAATATTTTAAATTTAAATCAACAAATTTTGGTGCTATATAATAATCCACCAAACCAAATAAACATACTAGATGTTTACCAGTATTAAATTAATGGCCTTTGCTCTTGCAAAATTTCAACCTTATACAGGCCAAGAACTACAAAAGTCCCAGCATTACCAACAATCAAGGGCGCAGTCAAGTGATTTTCCGACGCATTACATGATCAAAACGACGAATTAATTTTTAAAGTATTTTAAAGAAATTTTACGCTTAATACAGGAGTACATTTTTATAAAGCTTTAATTGATATAAAAAAAGCCTTGATTTTTATAACATAAACAACATCAAACTCTACATAATAACATTAGACTGCAAAATAAAGTTATCTATAGTATTGAGTATTTTCATTGTTATCCTTCCATGTTCGTGGAAGTGTATGTCTTTTTTTATATTGCAAGATATCTTTGACTAATTTTTCAACCAGCATTAATTTGGATTCCATGTTTTCAAGAAATTTCAAGCGATTATGAAAAGCCTTGGATTCATTAAAAATATGTTGTGCCTATTTTAAAAATAAATTTATCTCAAATATTTT